GGGGGGTCTGACATCCCCTCCCTCTGTCTATGCCATATACCCTATCGGCCCATCCCCATTCTCCAAGTGTTAAAGTTTGGAAGAGGTTAACAAAACAAAAAAGAACCATCATCTAACAAGGTGTGAATGGAGAGATGCAACAGGATATGGTAGTCTTTCAGCAGAGCCAAAAGAAGAATTTGTTATTTTACAAACTTCTTCAACAAAGGAAACAATAAGTTCAGGCTAAAAGTTAAAATCCAAATTAGAAGAAAACAATGGTTTAATGGTTGTGAAGGCACACCTGTACATTTTTCCTAACATTTGAATCCTCAGAAGGACCAGCTGCAGAAAGTCTTTGCAATTTCTTTTCTGATCTTTTGAGAAGACCAGTTATTTCATGGGTAAGAGCCTCAATACGACGCTGATCTTCCTTACCATCTCCAAATGATGGCATTAACGCTTTGGCATGAGCTTTGGCTAGCTCAGCCATCTTTGTTCGGACCCGTTGCACATTACCCGTGATTTCTTCAGACACATCCACCCACGCTGGCGGTAGACCTACTGTAACTGGACCATTACTGCAGCAGGGAAACAGCATGAGATCCAGAGTAGGGGGAACCATTAAGGACATCCATAAAATCTAGGAAGTATATACTTACTCAAAAAGATGTAGGAAGTATATAAAGAGAAAAGATATGAAAATTTAAGGAAGCTGCTATAGGAAACGGTTCAAAGGAGATTTAAATAAGAAGAATTTCTTTTCAAAGTTTATACTATGACAAATGACAAGGCTTCATCAAAAGTTCATATTTAAATAATTACTAGGTATCCCTCTTCAAATCTTTGCAGTTGTTCCAGTTGTATAAGCTCCATACTTCCTCTATGTTTCTCTTTTCACCAAAAATTCTGCACTATGCTTCAGACATAGATAAACTTTCTTTCCTCTTGCAAATCCAACCCCAAGCAGAAAGAGATAGGAAGTTCAAAGTGCCATTTGCTCCTTAGAACTATGGACAGGGAATTCTAATGATCCAGGTGCCCCTTCCGTTTCAATACATCATGCCGGGGGTGTTAATGGAGGTCAAAAGAGTGTGGTTAAACCTGATCTACAAAGAGAAAAAAGTATGTGCAACATGTTTTTCTTGAATGTTCCTTTGTCTTTTGTTTTTTAGGGGCATGAGTATTCTCCAATCTAGAGATGAATTTTCATGGGCGACGGTGACAATTTTCCTGTTGCAAATTGCACCACGCTGAGCACAGATCAAGTTAATTATCAGAACTTCATCTGAGTAAGCTCCACCAATTATCCTCCTTCACGAATAGCTGATTAAGCAAAACTTCATTTGAATGTATTATATAGCATCACAGTGCACTCATCAATTCAATAAGCTCTTACAGGAACAAGAATTTTGAGACAAGATTAAACCATTAAAATTACACAATTTGTAACAAGAAAAGTTAGCAACTTGGACTTAGCAATGCCTAGCACTTCAATCACCTATCATCAAATAGTTGAGCTTTTCCTCGGCATATATCATAATAACAGGAATTAAACAAATAAGTTCCCGTAGCTATCCGTTAAAGTTACTTCCAGATTTGATCTAGCACAAATAGCCCCAAAACTCATAATTTTGATACACGTCACTAACCTAAATAAATTATTTGGGAACAAATTCAGAGGCAATAAGTGAAAATTCAAGGACCTATATGCAAACCTGGAGGTTCCCGGATCTTCTGTACTGAGAGGAGCATACGATCGATTGGAATTAAGCAACGACGTCGTTGCCAATTCGATCACCGGCCCACTACCATGACCCGATGACGTGGACGGCGAAGAACCCGCAGGGACCCGAACACTTCTCAACGCATCTCTATACTTCCTAAACAATATCGTTCTATTTCTCGACGCCATTGACGTTTCTGCACAGAATCAATAAAAATGCCTACAGATCACTGATTCCTCTTCTACTTAGATCTGAAATTGGAATTTGTTTGTAGACGCGTGTATCATAATCAGTCCGGGTTTGGATCCAACTTGAATTAAATTCCGGATCTCTTGATCGGAGATCGGTGAAATGGAATTTCCGGTAATGATGGAGTCGTGTTAAATTGGGAGCGAGTTCGAAGCTTCCAACTTCCAAGCTAAGTTTTGAGGAAGATGAACCAAAAATGAAGGACGAACCGGGGTGGGGGGTGGGGTGGGGGTGGGGTTGGGGGTTGGAGGTGGGGTGGGACACGCACTTTTGGTCGGGTGTGTTGATCCAGCCTTTTATGTATTTTGATTTAAAAGAAATTTTATTTTTATAAAATAGAAATAGAGAATGAAACTAAAAATATTTATAATAATTTCATTGTAAGTATATGCTTAATTTTATTTTTACAATACTTAATTAACATATACATTTGATATGAACCGCTATTGATTTGCTATGAGATGTTACCAATGTACATGATATATTTGTACTTATAAATTATAATACCATCCCTTATTTTTATTTTTGGAGATTTTATTTATTTCAGGTATATTTTAATAACGATAAATAAAATTTATATATTATTTAATTACGAATAAAAAATAATTCTAATATATACTATTATATCTATAGATGGTCTTCAATTTGCAACTATTAATTGCGTAAGGAAAAGGAAAAAAACATTAAGATAAGTATTTATTATTAAGATGCTACTTGTTTTCAACTTGTGTTTGTTTGGACTAAAATAAAAAAGAGCATTAAGAGAAGTATTATTATGATATTTTGGACTTTAGTGGTATTAATAATTCAAAAGAATTACAGAAGAAATAACTTTATATAATTGGAGGTCAAATAAATAAATAAATGAGCAATAGCTGTGTTTCTAAAAAGACAATAAAAGGTGTGTGGAAGACAAGTCTCATCTTTCTTTTTTGGTAGAATTTCACATTTTCACCTGCTTAAAAGGCCTCAGCTACCTCCTCTTCATCATCTGCTTCTTGTTCTGCGTCATCTTCATCCATTCGTCGTCGTTTCGTGTAACCAAAATCGCACTCCGTTTCTCAAATCACACACCGACACTCCTTACAATTCACAAATCGTCAACCCAACCCTCTCTCCTAACGATTGAGTCGAATTGGTACTTGAATTTCACTGTTTCAAATCAGAATCCAGCTTAATCCTTTCAAATTCATAGTGAAGTAAAGCAAATATGGATGCTGATTCATGGAGTGCTCGTCTTTCTTCTGCTTCCAGGCGCTACCAATCCGCTTTTCAGTCTCGATCTGGTAAGTTTTCTTCCCTTAATTTTGTAGGATTATTGCAGTAAAGTTTGGATTTTTGTGCGATTTATGTGGTTAAATTTGGTGTAGGAATGAAATGGGAAAATCTTGACGCGGAAATGTTGATGGGTTTTGAGGAAATTGAGGTGGACGACGATATAAGAGAAGAGTTCCCTTGCTGTTTTTGTTCGGAGTATTTTGATATTGTTGGTTTATGTTGTCATATTGATGATGAGCATCCCGTTGAGGCCAAGAATGGGGTATACCTCTCTTTTTTGTTCAGTTATTGTGTAGTTGATCACCCTTTGCTGTTTTCCCATTGTTGAAATATTGGATATTGTGTCATTTTACACTTAGAAGTTTAAAATTCTTTCAGTTATTGAAAGATAGAGCGTCGTGTTAAATATTTAGGTTTACTAGCTGACATTTTAAGCCATGATGGCATGACTTGATACGGTTGCCTTTGTTTGATGGCATTACTTTTTGATGTGTACTGGTCGCACGTTCTTGAGTGGTTCAGAAGCATGTTTTTGCCTCTGACAATTGTTCTAGTATTTCTAAATGTCTGTGAAATCATGCTAGAGAAGTTTCTTCCATTGCTCATGGTCGAGATTACTTCGGATGAAAACACGAATGTTTTGTTGTCCATCCAGAAGTATGTTGTGGACTGCTTATATGCTAACTGTTCCTTGAGCTGGTATGTTTTTATCTCTGTCATTTTTCCTCTTAGGAGTTCTGGCGCAGGGATGGGGTAGTCCATCTTAACTTGTAGATATGGTAGTTTTTTCCTGTCTGGATTTTTTTTCTTCTAATTTTGCTGATTTGAGTGTTGTGTCAATAATATCTGTGCCATATGGAAGCTCTTTCTAAAATTAATCCTCACAGTCGGCTTCTTTGTGTAGGTGTGTCCAGTTTGCGCTATGAGGGTGGGCGTTGACATGGTTGCACACATAACCTTACAGCATGGGAATATCTTCAAAATATCCTTTATTCAGTATCTCAATATCGTTTTTGTGGTTCATTCTTGTAGTTTCCTTTTGCTGCTTCTTTTGTTTGTAAAATCAGAGGAGGTAGCAATGTCTTGTGGCCCTTGTGGCAAAATTGTCACTTAACACAAGAATGTAGGAGATAGATTTTTCAATAACCTTGGGTATGGTAATCACAATTCCTAACTTTTAAAGTTCCACCAGATGTTTTCTTTTTATCAGGAAGTTCCTCCAGATGTTTAGAGCATTTTATTTAGTTTCGAGGTTTGCTGTCATAAATTGGAGCAAGAGGTCCTCCCTCAGTTGAATAACGTCGAACTCTTCCATTTTCTCATTTTTAGAATGTGTTCAATGGAGCTACTGAATCGAGATGGTTGACTGTTTAGGTAATACTCTGGGGGCTGTCGGCCACTCGACATAAGCTCTTAATTAGTATTCTTTTTTACGGTTTCTGTATGTCAGTTTCTTTTTGAGAGCCTTTAGGATGAGGTTCTATAGTTTGGTGCTAACCTCTGTTTTCCTCTCCTGGAAGAGTACAAAAGTATGTCCTCATGTTCTGATTCCTTTCTCGGCTTTTTGGTGAAGATGTAGTATGTAACATCTGTCCTTATCTTTTGGGCACTTTAAGTTCTTTTAAACCTTCAGCAAGTCGAAAGCGAGCTACTAAATCCCGCTCTCACTTTCCGTAGGCATCTTCATCTCAACTTATTTATCAAGGCACACCTTCACATGCATCTTTGACCTCAGCTCATATGTTGAACAATGTTGTGTTTCATTCCACGTGAGTTCATTAGAACTTTTCTCAGTAGGCTTCGGAATGTGTCATTTATCATGGTCCTGGGACCCAAGAATCATTTTTTTGTTACACATAGAACATCACTCTATTGCAGATCTCGGAAAGCTGATACTCTTGTTTAGGTTGTGTAACTTCATAGTTGTGATCAGTAGTGACAAGACTCTGGAGTTTTTCTTCCTTTTTTGCAGGAGTTGGCGTTGGGGTTGGGGTTGGGGATGGGTAACTGGATTGGGAAAAATGTTTCCCCCTTTTTATCGAGATGTATATAATTGAAATCAAACTGCAAACTACATGTCAATCTCCTGCTTATAGATGAATATCGAAGTTAAGAAATTTTAGGCGACCTAGGGGTTGTTGGGATCCCATAAACATGATAAAAGGTAGATCAACATTATTTATGGGGAGTTCGTTTACTTTTAAAAATCCTGATATCATGAGAAACAGAGAAAGGAAGTAAAGTTTGCCATATGGTCTGGTTTAATATTTTCTTATTATGCCTAGTGGTAGCTTGTGGCATCATACAGAAAAGTTGGATAAAAATTGAAATAACGAATTATCAAGTTCATTTGGAGTTCTATCAGTTGGTTGATATGGAAATCTGGAACAGAGTTGTAGAATTCAGAGGTAAAAGTTTGGGGTTAAGGAAGGGTTAAATCACGCTGGTAATGGTTTAACTTCCATTTTTTGCGGAGGCCACGGTCTCCATTTGCTCCTCCCGTCTTCTGCACTTATTTTACAAAGTCTATATCCATGGGGGAGTATGACTATGAGTGACTCCAAATAGCTACTTTGAGTTCCTTGACTTGAGCTTACATGCAGCGCAAGAGGAAATCTCGCAGAGCTGGTTCTCATTCAACACTTTCCTTGTTAAGGAAGGAACTGCGAGAAGGAAATTTGCAATCTCTTTTTGGAGGGTCTTCTTGTATAGTTTCCTCAACTAGTGCTGCACCAGACCCCTTGCTGTCATCGTTCATTTTGCCAATGACTGATGATTTCAAGAGTGCTCAAACGCATTCTCCTGCTGAAACAATCTCAGCCAAGAAAAGCTCAATAGTAACTGCGTTTGAAAGGTATGCATTTTATCATTGTCTGTGCTCTGGTTACAGTAGCTCCTTATAAACACTTGTATAGAGCTGCTATCAACATGCATAATTAACTGCAAAATCTTTCAGAAAAGGACTTTGTACTAAAAGTTCTCCCAAAAGAACATGTCTGCTCAATTAATTATTTGTAGTGGTATCGCTTCTCGGTAAATAAAGCTCTAAGTGCAAGAGGACCCAGATGCTTGAGTTATGGCTTTGTCACCTCACCCTTAGTGATAGCTTTAGAATAGAAATCAGCTATGGTACTTGTGGAAAGATTGTGTGCGATCACCTCTATCATCGGGGTGAAAGTGCTAAGGATGTGCTGTGTGAATATTCTCCAGTCCCAAGCTATTTGTCTTTAACCTTTTTTGACTTGGTTCTTTTGATGCAATTAATTCCACAATATTTCTTACGAAATAGAAGAAAGATCAGGACTCCAATAATAATTTGGTGTGATACTGGGTACTAGCTTCTTTATCTTTCCTAAGCGGCCACAACTGGAACATGCATTGGTTGCTTTTCTGCTTCTGGAAGCCTGAAAATAGAGGTCAACCAAGCCACTTGTAGAAAGATTGTGGGCGACACCCCTAATTGTTGGGGAAAGCACCGTGGGTGCTTGTAGTTTCCTTTTGTTCCAAGCTGTTTGTCATATAACTTTTTTGACTAGGTACAGGTACTGCAACTAGTTTCATGTTTTTTGAAAAGAAGAAAGACATGCAATGTAACATTAATTTGTTTATGTAATGCATGTCCATTAGCTTCTGCTATCTTTTCTAAGCGACCACAATTGGAACTTGTGTTATTTCTCATGAAGTATTTGTTCTACTGCTTTTCTTTTTATCGACCAGAACAGGAACTTGCACTGTTTTTTAATAAAGTAAATATTCTACCATTTTACTGTAAAGTCTTCATATTCATGATCCATTTGCTGCGAACATTTTCCTTGATCCTCTTTATCTTTCTTTCCTTTTATAATGCTTCGTGAATATCTCCAGTATCTTCTGTAATCTGTTCTTTACTTTAGCTTCACAAAATGAGTACATGTACTGGGATATTATGTGCAGAGATACGCCCAACATTCTATCTTTGATGACATTAAATGGTGCCCATATCTTGAATATGTTGTTAGGTGGAAGTGCCGCTCTTTGTGTTTGCATTTTGTGAAACATTACAGGATTGGTGGGGATATTCTGTTGTTTGAGTGTGGCTGAGGAAATGGGCCATTGCAAGGCTGAAAAGCATATTGAGCTATACCTGCTAAACATAAAAGAGAGACTTTTATATCTCTGCGAATGTGTGATGGAATTGTTCATTTGTTTTGCGGAGTTTATTTTATGCTCTTCCCTTGTATTAGAAAAAAGGCCTTTTGATTTGGGAGAAAAGATAAGAGTACATTGCTATATGCTTTTACGTTAATGAGATAAAGACAAGTTATCAGATAATGTCAGCCTTTTGGCTTTTGTGACATTTAATAACCCCCTTAACCCCCCCCCCCCCCCTAAAAAAAAAAAAAAAAAAAACATAAGCCGAGGTTTTTTTTTTAAAGAAAGGAGCAGAGAGCACTTAATCCTATACAAAATAAAAGATGATATTTGACAAGAATCACCATCTTCTTGGATATTCTGACATTTGAACACCCCCCCAAAAACAATTTAGAAAAAGAGGTACGGAGAAAACTTAATCCTATACAAAATAAGAGATTCTTTGACAAGAGTCATCACCTCCTTGGGTATTCCCTAGTGTTCAGGTAAAGGAGATTAGAATTGTTTCATGCTTTTTTTCTGAAGCTATTCATGAAGAAGTAGATTGGATTTAATCCACCAGAATATTCACATGTAGTTCCCCTGATAATGAACTTCGACATGTGGAGCATAGGATAGTCATGTGAAAATATTTTGAAGGTAGTCAGCATGAAAGAACACAGAGGCGGATGGAGCTTTTTAACAATGTGGTCAATTGAACGTAATATTTTCGACGTAACATACATACATATATATTATATATATGTGTGTGTGTGTGTGTGTGTGTGAAAAATCACTAAAATTTCAACAAATATAAAATTTTGAACCCATAATTTCAAAAATACAATGAGTTCGGCGCTAAGAATATTTCTCCAGTCCCTTATCATCTGGATAATCAGACTATCTCAGCATATGGGAATTCGCTAGGGAATTGATTTAACTCATAGAAGGCATACACTAGTTTTAGCTGACAATAACTAACCAAAGAAATCTGGATTAATCCCACTTTTTGTCCCTTTCCTTTCTTAGGGAGTAAATGGTTGAATCCATTAAGTTCCGCCTCTCCGTCTCTGAAAGAAGATGTTCATGTTACCTGCAAATAGCTTTTACTTAAAAAGGATTTTTCCTCCGATGAATAGAATCTATCAATAGCTTTTCTTAATTGCTACTGGTCTGGCTTCTTTCCTTCTGCCACATTCTTCAATCAGTGAAAAATAGAGTTTTGGTCTTACTGTCCAGTCCTTACAATATGATCATTCTGGATGTCCAATTGAAAGGAGAAAGTATGACCATTCCAATCAATCATGTCTCTTTATGTTGTCACTATTAACTCATGAATGAATTTGTTACAGCAGTTGCTTAAGTGTGTGAAATACAGGCAGCACCAACTAGTTAGGACTAGAGCTTAGTCGTGCTGGTACATTTACATTAGGCTGATTTTTTTCAAGGAGTCTTTTAGATTGTTTATTGGAAAGTTGCATGTCGGTAGAAAATAGAAAACCTTAGTTGATAGAGAACCCAACTTTGTTTCAAAACACAACTTATTTAGGAATGGAATGAAGTCCAAATGGAGTGGAAGGGACATGGAATTCATATAGCCAACCAACTAGTTTGCAATTGAGTCGTTGTTGTTATTGTCTAAATGCTGGAATGATGATGCAATTTGCAACCTGGATTTGTTTTGCTTGTGCTGAAGTATCTGGTTTACTGCTTTTGAGCTGCTTCCACTGAAGCAAGATAAAGTTGGAAAAATTTTGCGTGCATAATTTTCTCCTTCAATATGTCATGCTTGAGGGATTAGTTCTCAATTGGGATCTGCTGGACTAGCTCTTATTGGCTTCTATCAACTACTTGTGCTATGACCAGATCATGTTTACACGGAATGGAGGAACCCTTATTCCTTTGACATTTAACTTCTATGTTTTCTGTTCTAGTATAGTTTACCTTGGCGATATCTTTAGTTATTCAGTTCATCCTATATAAAAAATTTAAAAAGAAGCAGAAGAAAAGGTTATCATGTTTGATGCTCTTTTTTGGGCTTTATTAATCCGAGAGAAAGAAACAGGAACATGAGATCTCTTTATCATGAGCATATCATCTCAGTTGTGCCTTTGGTTTAGGATCTTTTATATCTAGATTTGGTAGCTTGCATCTCTTACGTTGTATTGCAACTTACTTTGCAGAAAAGTTCAACCCCCATTGTCAATCAAAGATCAAGAAGAGAAGGCGAAGAGGAGTGAGTTTGTTCAAGGATTGCTATTGTCCACCATTCTGGATGATAATTTATGAAAGGTTGACTAGGCTGCCGGCCCCCCAGGTTCACCAGCTTACTGATAAAGCCGCGTGGTTAGTGGTCTGTCCTAGTGCGCATGGTGGTATTATGTAATCCAACCGTGGAATAAGATGTAGTAATCCATGTAATTTATCTTGTAGAATTTAGTTGATATGCAGCGGAGTCATGTATCTCCTTTTTATTGCAGTTCATGCGACGATAAAGAATACAATAAACGTTCAAGTTAGTGCTTTACTGCAATTTATAAGTATTTATTATTTGAACCAATGTCGTAAATGTTTGTATTGTAGAAGAACTGGGAAGAAAATGAAGTACAGCAAGAACATAGATAAAATTGGGTAGGAACTAAAATACAGCAAAAACATAGATATAGGATATTGAACATCCTAGTAATTGGACGTAAATGCAACTGGAATTTCCTAGTTATAGTGGGAATTTTTTAGATAAACCTCTTAAAAGATTGATGTCATGGCTTGCCATACCATCATGCCACGTAGGTATCACTTAGGCTTATATTTTTGCCATATGGGAATCTTACATATTACATATACTAGCACATGTGGGAAGCTTCTAGAGAAATATGGAATTATTAGGAAAGTCCTTAGAAGATTTCTATGTAGCAAATTCTAGAGAACGGACTTACTTGTAAATAATAAGGGCTTTGTGTAATAATTGTTATTTACTCATTAGCCCCCTAGGAGACTAGTATACAAAGGGGCTATTCAATTGTAACTCATCAAGAAAACTAATCAAGTTCTCTCTAATACAAAAGCTTCTTTTGGCAATTCTCCTATGTTCTAACATTTCCTTAGCGATCTTTAGTGTAGTAAGGCGGACTTGGCATAGCAGGATCGTGAGCAAGTTGTCAAGTGCTGCACGTGCGCTTAGTTCAAGACTAAAGGCGTGACAACGTGGTATCAGAGCAAGGTTATGATTAAAGGAATGTTAGAAAGAATACAAGAGATTGCTAGAAGGAAGCTTTGTAGGGAACCATGGCTAGGATTATCAAGGGCGTGGTACTTGCAAAAGGGGCAAATGTAAAGGTCCCTAAGCAAAAGGAGTATGGCGATGCATGGGACGCGCACGAGTTGGACGACTTACTTTGGAGGATGGACAAGTACTTTGAGGTAATCGAGGAGGATGACGAGATTGTGAAGGTACGCAACACCTCAATGTACTTGACCGAGGTTGCCGCTCTGGGGTGGCGTCAGAAGTGTGCCAACATAGAAAAAAGGGCTATGCAAGATTAAGGCGTGAGAGCAATTCAAAAAGGAGTAGAAGAGAAATTCTACTCGATGAATGTGGTGTACGATGCTGGGTGAAAGCTAAAGGAGCTCCGACGGACAACCAGAATTCGGGAGTATGTGCGCGAGTTCACTACCTTAATACTGGATATCTCGTTGTTGTCCGAGTAAGATTCCTTTTTCTACTTCATGGGTTGTAGAATTGGGCAAAACAGGAGTTAAGAAGACATCAAGTAGCCAACCTTAACGAGGCCATAGCGATAGCTGAGTCGCACGTTGACTTCAAAATGGGGCCTGCCAAGTCCAAAGAAAAAGAAAACAACTCTGAGGAGGGTGGGGGAGATCATGACAAGGACAAGGGGAAAGGCATAGCTGATGTATAGAAGGGCAATGGCAAGGGGCCATCCCATAACGGATAGGGGTCCAAGAGAAGCAGCAAGGGCCGGAAAATGGTAGCGAGTACGTGCCTAAAGGAGGGTGCTACTTCTATAAAGGATCACATCGGGCAAGTGATTGCCCAGAAATGGGGAAGCATGCAGCAATGATCGGGAACTTTGCTCGGGCACTAAGGGTGACACAGGAGAAATCGCTTGCATTGGAGGGGATGCGCTTGGAATCTAAGCCGAAAGTAGGGGATTTTAGAGCCTACCTTGGCGCCATGCAATGGAGCATGGTGTCAGAAAAAAATGTTAGGCGGGCATAGTTGAAGTGGATGGCGAGTTACAAAGTGGTGGCATGCTATCTGACTTAGACAGTGCACCAAGCAGAGGGGTCAAGTTTGCCAGTAAGGTTGAGACCACGGATGGCAGCAAGGAAATAGGGAGTGGAAGCATGGACCCGATGCTTGAGAAACTGCTAGACTTGGTTGAGTCATGGGGAGATTCAGGTCAAGAGCAAATAGAGGCATCCGATGGGCAGATGATCGAGACCATCATGGTTAGCCGTCCAAAGTACAAACGGGTCAAGAAGAAAGGTGACCGGTACCTTGTGACATGGGTAGGCGAACTACTTCATAGGGCATCATGGCTAATGGATACGCATGTATGTGTTGATGTTTTGTGCCGAGGGCGACACAAAATTGGTTTGGGGGGCGGGAGGGTGTCATGGCCCGCCACATTATTATGCCATGTAGGTACCACTTGGCATATATTTTTGCCATATGGAAAGCTTACATATGAAATATACTAGCACATGTGGGAAGGTTCTAGAGATAAATGAAGATTTTTCATAGAAGACCTTAGAACCCTATGGAATTGCTAGGAAAGTCCTTAGAAGATTCTAGCTATGTAGAAAATTCTAGAGAAAGGACTTTCTTGTAAATAATAAGGGCCTTGTGTAATAATTATTATTTACTAACTAGTCCCTAGAAGACCAGTCTCTTATCAATTTTATTAGACCCCGCTTTCTTAAAATTACTCCCTGCGTCTTTATTTTTGTGGCGGTGTTTGACTCAGTACGGAGTTTAAGAAAGAATTTTTGTTAAAAGTTTGTGGTCTAAAACAAGCCATAGATATTAGTATGCCTATATCATTAAGGGTAAACTAACAAGTTCAAAGTTAAATTGTAGCAAGTATAACATTTTCTTTTTTGGCAGAAAAAAAGTGCACATAAATTGGGACATAGGAAGTACAAATTTTCGTTCCTGTTTACTTGTTGTCTTTCCAAGGTGCATCTGTTCAAACCTAGAGGTTTCCTTAGACAGTTTCTCTTCATCTCCAGGGGATTTAACAATTCTACACGGTATCGAAAGAGAAGGAGAAAAAGAAGAAAAGACATGTTTGATCAAAGCATTAGATGGAAGCATTTGGTTTTAGCTTTTTACGATTTCTTTAAATGGAAGTTAACGTAGCAATTGTCTGTGGACAATACTATCCAGGATAACAACCTTATCAAGAAAAGCACTAGCCAGCTTTGCCATGCCATCTCTAAGCGAACAATAAACTTTTAAGGATCTAAGCCAACAAGAACCAGTTATATATTACAGAAAAACAGCAATTAGCAGGCATCTTGGTCATTGGTAAAATCCCAACATATCCAAACAGCTGAGTATCTCAATGGCAGCTCATTGTCGGATAACAAATTTGCTAATAAATAACAATGAACAATGGTGGCATATCTTCAACAGCAATCAAGGCATCTTTTGTCAGTAAAACGGGGTATACAGGTATAAAAGAGAAAATGCTACCCTAACAAAATGGATTTCTCTGGCAGGGTCAATGGATAGAAAGAATGGTGAGCTAACGAGCAAATCAAATCCCAATGCTTCAACAGCATAAGTCTCCTACTCATGATTTCCCCCACCATTATAGCTCAAGTACAAAAAGAAGCAAGAGGATAACTGGTCCTCTGCCCCCATGAGTGATTGCCAGCCGGTCTCCAACATAATTACAGATAGAGGTGAACTGCACAAGGAGAACTTCGTCCCACCGCAAATGCAGCTAAAATGGTCTTCTTAGAGTGCTGGGCAATGTCCTTGAAGGTACTGTAGACTGTATCAAAGCATGTAATTCATTCAGAATCTAATACAACACAGCCGTAACTTCAGGGGAAAAAAGAAAAGAAATAATACTAGGAAGGTGTAAAAGAGAATATGAACTTCTTGCTTAAAATTATCAAAGTCATTAACATTCAGGACTATTTGATACTCAGTTAGCTAGCCAAAAATATTGATATGATGTATTGGTCCGCGAAAATTGGATTCAAATTCATCAACAAGCAAAGCAAATTCATGTACCAAAAAAACAAGTAAAGCAAATTCAGTGATTCCAAAGGGGGCCCTTGGACCTTAGACTCTTAAGGGTTGGGGGGTTCTAGTGGTGGGCTCTTGGGTTGCCCGGACCCAAAGCTGGTAACAGTGGTGGCGGGAAGTGGAAGCAGTCAAGCTAAAATGCACATTTTACAAAGCAGTGGAAACCTTTTTAGACTCTGATCAGCTCCCGGACATTTAAAAGGCATGAGTCATGTTTCACTGGCATAGAAAGATTGGAGTGTGAACGACCACAAGACTTGATTTATGCTTTATCCACATCACTGTACAGTTTAATCTAATCATTCCACTATACCTGAAGTCTCTCGACTAGCTTTTAGTAAATTCTAACCGTTGATTATACAACAACAACAAACCCAGTGTAGTCCCACAAAGTAGGGTCTGGGGGTAGAGTGTACGCAAACCTTACCCCTACCTTGTGAAGGTAGAGAGGTTGTTTCCGATAGACCAAATTGAAGCTAGTGTAATCAACAATAACCGTTGACTATACGTGTTCCTTTTTTAATTAAAGGAGCTCACCTCTCTAAATGGACAAGGAGATGGGCTAGTATCAGGCCCCACATAAGATCTGCTACTGCAGGGATGGAGTTGCTGATGAACCAAACCCAAGCTCATACTTGCATCAGTACCTTGTAATTCACTTTCTAAAAAATCCCCCAAAAAACTATGCGATGATGTAGATGCTCCATTCAGATTCAGTTGCCCGCTCAAATTACTTGACCTTTCAGGTAAGATATTCCGATTATGAGATAAACAAGCATTACTCTCCAGTTGCCTTCCCTGGAAAAATGTATTATGAGGAGCTGCCCTTTGTGCTACAGCAGGTTGAGTTACTAATTCCCTGCTTCGAGCAATTTGGGAGCCAAAGAGACTATTCCCCGATACAGCAACCAAGGTCCCATTAACATTACCAAGTTGTCTCCTCCTGTTATTAAGCAGTTGATTTATTTGCCTCTGTATTCTACGTCGGTCAAAAACCGTCGATGCCCCAACCCCAGCAACTTGACCATCTCGGGGAGATTGAAAATCACCAGATTCTTCAGCTAATGGGGTATCAGGTACGTACATTTCATTAAGGTCAAACGTCTCCCTCACATTGGCTACAGGGGGTGACCCAATAGAAAAATTGCTGCTTGTTCTATTAATATCAGGCGTAGGATTCATACTCTGTGGGTTTGAAGAAGCAAGTGCAGTTGGTCGACAGCTTTCACAGTACCAGTTAC